CTATGGTAATAAATTAAAAAAATTATTCTATATTTTTTTAAAATTGATAGTTCAAATTAAAAAATATTTATATTTTCAAATATATTAATTTCACTATTTATCTATATATTTAACATAAAATCAACTGTCAACTATACTAATGGTTTCACATGTAAATATTTTCTTAATATAAAAGACAATAATTGAATTCTTTTCAAATATATTGAAATTAATTGATTTTTTTTCTAAATATTGTATTGAAACTAACATATAAAAAATTCAGGTTATTTTATTGGATACAAATTAGTCAACCTTTTTATCAAAACATAATTTTAAAGGTCGTTTATTTTTCAATAAATATAGAAATCGATTGAAACATTTTTTCTGACGTTGAATTGTAATTAATATATTAAAGCTTTGCATAATTTTATTAACTAAAATAAGTGATCGTATCGTGTTACTTTCCAAAACCTATTTTGCTTCAATTATGAAACTTTATCATAATATTTCTTTTATATTTTGTGGTCAATAAGACCACTCGATTTAAAAATACAGTTTTGACAAAATTTTTGCAAAATTTAATAATATTATAAAAAAGGACTAATTTGATAAAAAAATAAAGTTAAAATAATAAATTTTAAAAAAAATTAGAAGATTAAATTATTAGTTTCATTTAATAAAAAGTACTATTCTGAATTATTTTTATATTATATGAAATCAAATAAAAGGAAATGTCACTTAATATTAAATAATTATTTATATAAAGAGTTGGTTATATCTTTTGTACTGCATATTATATAACATTTTTTTCCCACCTTGGTCCAACGTGGTATATAATGGTAAAATTCAACAAATTTAATTTTATAGAAAATAAAGTCAATCTCAATTATTAATACATATATAAATATATATATATATATATATATCTATTTATATATGTATATATTAATATATATATATATATATATTATTAAATGAATATTATTACTATTCATATTATTACTTATAATTACTAATAATTAATATGAATTTTTAGTAAAGAATGATATTTGGTAGACGCGCTCTGTTAGTGCTACAAAGTCTTCACTGGAATATAATTATTTGCTATATTTATTTTAATTAACAAGAAAATGGAGTCATGATAAATCAAGACGTGTTAAAATTTTAATGTGTTTAAGGTCGATGAACCCTGGCTGTAAAATGTTTTACGTTATTTCTTAAAGGTGTTACTCGATCGACAAGCTTTATGGGTGTATTGGATTAATAATTCACTTAAATGTTTATTTCATGATTATTTATCATGTGAAAATTATGATATAAATTCAATTGTGAATTTATTAAAATAAATTAAAATTTTCATTTTCATGAAATTTATTTAAAGTTTTAAAAAATAAATTTAAATTAATTTATAAAAAATATTTTTTATAAATTATTTGTAAATTATTTTAAAAGTCTCCTAAATATGTCACTAAAATATTTAGACCTTTTAAATATTGAATAATCATTTTTACTTTTAAGAATACGATCATGCATAATTAGATGTGAGCATTAGTAAAATACTTTCTACAGTAAGCTTTTATATCAGTTACTTAGTTGATTTAATAAGAGTACAACAATATTTTGAAATTAAAAGAAACTTTTTAACATCGATTATGAAAATAACTAATGTAAAAAATACTTTCTACATTAGTTATTTTTGAACTGACGTAGAAAGTGGAGAAAAAAAAATTAGAAAAATAAAAAAAATTAAAATTTTGAATTTTTTTTGTGCAAACTCATTAGTTGTGTGCTAAATCTGAATTTTGTGCAAAAAATTATGTCCATTCAAAGTTTACAACTAAAATTATAGAATTTTTTATATGGGTTCTAAAAACAATCGATGTAAAAAGCACTTTTTATATAGATTATTCTTTGAATCGATATAGAAAATACTTTTTATATCAATTGTTTTTAGAATTAATATAAAATTAATTCAAAATAAAACATTTCATTTTCACCTGCTAGTGTTTTTTATATCAATTCCAAAAATAACTAATGTATAAAGTACTCTCTACATAGGTTTCATAAATAAACAATGTAAAAAATACTTTTTATATGAGTTATTTCTAGAACTAATCTAGAATCAATTCAAAATAAAATATTTTAGAGGTGCACACCAGTAAAATAACATAAATTGGAATAAGCAAACATGAATTCTTACTTACATTTTTTAGCTTCTATTAAGATTTTTACTTTATTCTATATTTTTTTACGTTATTAATTAACACGAACTCTTATTAGATATATCAATTATTTTATTTTACTTCATTCTATATTTTCTTTTTTATTGACAAATATTGTATATTTTTTATTAACAAATATTATATATTTTTCATTTACAGACACAATAAAAATCAATAAAAGATTGATGACAAATACTATATATCGAATAAGATTGAAGATGACCATTATATATTGATGAACATTGCAAATTTTTCATTTATAAATTTAACAAAGATTAAATACTCAGTAAATATTGACATGTAAAAAAATAAACATTAATGTTATTGATATTAACAAACATTGACATTACTGAAAAATTTGTTTGCTGAATTGTAAGATAAACACTTACATCATTGATGAACAACAGAAGATCAATTTTTACATTAGTTAATTAAAAAACGATGTAAAATACTGATGTAAAATTTTTCCACTTATTACATCATCTGTATTTATACTGGTTCATCAACCAATATTAAAAATAGATTTTAACTGATATAAAAGGCTTTTTTTTATACTTGTAAAAATAACAAGATAAAAAAATGAAAGGAGAAGAGGGAGGAGGGGATGCAAAGTAATCATAAGTATAGAGATAGAATATAATACATAAAGATTTATACTAGTTTAATTAACCTCAAATTCAAAAGCTTTTGATGTTATATAATTTCAAATATTATTTACAAGACTACCTCTTTAAGTAAAAACAATTCACATTCCCTGTACTTTTCACTTTGTTTCTTCAAGTTTAAGACAAAATATTTTTACAAACATTGGTGTGTTCCTTGACATAGACAAGTTGTATAGTCAGTTGTCTAAGTCTTGTCTTCCAATTTCAAGGTTCAATATTCTTAACTTTCATTTTTTTAAATTTCAACATTTAATTTACCCAAGTTCTATCTCCAAAATCTACTTCTTTATATGAAAAATACATTAAACAAATAACATGCATAATAAAGTTCAATCTAAACGCAAGATTGTGTATGATTTAAATGAAAATACAACCTATAAAGTAATGCATGAATTGCATACCCCTAATAAACATTTGTGTTTGCATACTTAACAATCTATACAAGCTTACTACAAACATGCAAATTTGCTATTGTATCATGACTATGCATCGTTTGGACTCCAAGTACTATATAACCAATAACATATTACTTGATGACAAATGTGATCTATTTCTTATTATTAATCTACTGGTATAAACACTGACTTAAGTGTTAAGAGTGCCTTTACCAATGCACCACCCCATATGCTTCCTTTAATCTCTCATATTAGCTTTGTTACAATATTTTTTAGACTTGATTGAGCTTACCTCTAATGGACTTAGTGGAAATATATCATATTAGTGTCATCTATAGGAATTGATAATTACATCCACTAGTTAGGCTAGTTCTCGTACTATGAGTATGCACCATTCACACATAGTAACATATTATTACATGACGAGTTATGTGACATTTTTTTTACCGTTACTTTGCTAATAAAACTTGAGTATTTGACTACCTTTATAGGTGCCCTACTTCGCTTGTTTCCTTCAAAACTCATGTACTAGCTTTGTGAAGACATTGTTTACACTTAATTAAGCATACCTTCTTTGAACTTGTACTCATATAACATCAAATAGATCTAAGACACTACAATTTTCACAAATAATATTTAAGTTTTTATTGACGTAAATGAGGTGAAACTATAATTAAGATACTTTTTAAATAAATCTAAAATCAAATCTTAAAATAAGTTAATTCAATCCACATTAATAAATTTTTAGAATTGATTTTAAATAAATAAAATTTAATTTTTAATTTTAGTTTTTATAAATTAACTATAAAAATTGATGTTAATAAACTATTAAGATTCAATTAGAGGATTTTTTATTTTATTTTGATGTGTTTATATCATGAATTTTTTTTCTCATCAAACTTACTTGTTTTAGGAGTTATCATGTAATCTATTTAAAATTTCCAAAATCCACATATTCTAAATAATAATAATTTTATTCTTGTCAGTACCTTAGAGTAGGAGACAAGAGCATTTGTTTTTTCTTTTAAGCTCCTTTTGGGTAAACTTAAAAAAAAATTAATGAAAAAAAATAGTATAAAATGAAAACAACTTTTTTAATATGTTAAATTTATGAGTTAAATAAGAAAAAAATTTAAAAAATAGAGAAGCATAAGTTGTTTTTAACTTATGAAAAAATTATTTACTTTTTATACTAACTATTTTCTCCTTTTAACCTTAAAAAAATTATATTAAATGAAAAACACTTCCAATTCATATTTGTTGAAATTTCAATGCGAACTCAATGTTATTATGTGGTTAATTTCCGAGCCTTCGCTTTTGTGGTGTTAGGTGATGTGTAGCTGGACGTGTACGTGGGATCTAGGCAACTGGCATTATTCATATGATAATAATTCTTCTCTTCATTTACTTATTTAATTATTTTTTGTAATACGCGAATACTTTATATTTCAAAAGTCAGAACACGCAAATTGATAGAAAAAATAATGACTTGAATGTTCTTTCTCTATTGATTGAAAGAATCTCTCTAATTCTTCAAGCAATCTCTCTTCTCTCAAACATATTCAAATTCATTCCAAATTCACACCCACACAAACATATATATATATATATAATAGCTGTCTTGAATATTGGCATTATAGTTTGGATTAGTGTGATGGTGGATCATAATTCATAATCAAGATCACTACCCCATATAGAAGAAGAGATATATGGTCATATCATAAGATCATAGTTACAATATGCATTCAAGAAATCATTGGGGAGGGTCCTTTGAAATGAGCACAAGTGGTGAAGAGGTCTTAGGCTATGAGACCAACCGCACCACAGAGTGGGACAAGGCAGCACTGCTTGAGAGGTACCATCCTCAAAGCCAAGATTTGGATGAAACTCTTCAGAGTTGGGTTCTGGAAAGGGCTGAGAAGACCAAGAAGACTAAGTATGTGGACTTTGGGTTCATTGTGTGCAGCCATAGGGCATTGAAATGGACTTTTGGTTCCATTTTCTTGGCTTTCTGTGTCATTGCCCTTCCCATCATCATCTCCAAGTCTTTGCCCAAACACCATTCTCCTCCTACCCCACCAGATAACTACACCCTTGCCCTGCACAAAGCACTTCTCTTCTTCAATGCTCAAAAATGTATGTTCTTCATCTCCTTATCTTATTCTTGCTTTTTAATTTTATCTCTTTCTTCTTACCATTCTTTTCACAAGATATTGTGTCAGTTATTTTCGTATTAATTTCATAATTTTTAACTAATGACAAAAAATTGTTTAAAGGACTAAGATAATAAGTTCACATAATTTTAAGGATAATTTTGTAGAAATAAAGTGATTCGTATATTTTATACCAAGATTAGTCGCATTTCGACATGCATGTAAACTCATACGCATGCATTTGAATTGGTTATAACTTAACGATCATGATTGATGGTGAAATATGAGCTTTTATTTAACAGATGTTTTTAAAAAGTAATATTTCTTTCTCAATATATAAAATGATATGATAAAAGTAGAAATAGTAAATAAAATAAAAGGTCAACATATAAAGCACTTATTATTATTATTATTATTATTATTATTATTATCGAGGTCGTCATGAAAGGGTACGAATATGCGTCTTTTCATTACATCGATCAGTTTGTTTGAATTAAAAGTGGCCGTCCGATAAATTTGACTGATTCAAAAATATTTTATCAACGGACGGCTTTTGGCACAAATGAATGTCGCTATTATTTGACCGCTTCATCTCTTGACCTGGTAAAGTAATTGCCAAATGTGACCTAATCACCACTTACAGTTCTTTAGCTAAAAAAAAATTTTGTGCATTGTAATGATACCGAGAAAATTAATTCTAATTATATATATATATATATATATATATATTATGTCACCATTAAATGATAACCAAGATTATTTTAAAATTTAGGGAAATCAAGATGAATAAAAATATTTTTAAGTCTATTACAAAAAAAAAATTTCATTAAAAAAAATGTATTAGAAACATGCACTTTTGAAGATACTATTTTTAACATTTTTTTTTTTTATAATTGATCAATAAATAAATAATTATCCTTGCGAAGAACTTAAAAAAATGTATTTCTCTTTTATTGATTTACAGGCCATAAAACAAAGGCTTAAATTGATACAAATCTTTCAATTTATAACAAACTCTAGACAATAAGATGAAATATAGATTCAAATCTTATTTAAGTTTTGTTGAGGTAAATTTTTTTAGAAGTTTTTATAGGAAAAAATTAGTATAAAAATGAATAAAACTTTTCTTATAAATTATACTTCTTTATTTTTCTTTAAAAGCTCTTAAATTTTTTTTTATTTAACTTATCTAAAGTTTGAAAATATTAATTATCTTTAACTTGTAAAAGAAATTTTATTAATATTTTATAGTATTTATTTTTTCTTTTATAGGGACTTTTCTACAATTCACCTAATTAAACAAGACTTTAATAGTCAACTTTGGTTGAAAGTTAAACTATCCTTACTTCATAAATTGCTTTTTCAAAGTTTGAAAAATTTAAGAAATAATATAAAGTGTGTTAAAAAATATGTTTGAAAGAACATATTATTAATACTTCTATTCATTGAAAATACAAAATACTTTTTCATATAATGTATGTCTGTTTTTTTTTTTTAAAGAAAGACTTGATTCTTTAATATCTTATCCTTACTCAAACAATTATGATTTTTTTTCTTTTTTTAATCTTCCATATATTATGAATAATTAAAACTACTTCATTTCTCCGTAAAACTTTATCCATTCTATTTTCTACATTTTTTAGCATTTTTCAGTTTTTAAACTTGACTGTTTTAATTTTATCTATCATCAACAACTAACACGAGAAATTTAATTTTCTAAGCTTTTAGTTTATATTCTTTGCTCATCATTCTTATCCTTTAACAATCTTAATAGTAAAAGATACAAAACTATTTACGTATTGTACTTTCTTTATCAACTTATCCTTTAACCGTGTTAACTTAATAAAAGCAATTAGTGGTATTTATCAAACAAACTTAATTAATAAAAACTTTTTCATGCAAGTTCAAATTAGAAGCTTCTAACTAAAAAGTGAACTAGTTAAATTAGAAGAAATTTATTCATGCTTATGGACAATAATAAAAACTAAAGTTTTAATTTGAACGGTGTATTGTGGTGGTGAAGCTGGGAGATTGGCCAAGAGCAATGGCATTCCATGGCGAGGGAACTCAGGTTTAAATGATGGAAACGATACTGACGTGAAAGGAGGATTGGTTGGAGGTTACTATGATGCAGGAGACAACACAAAGTTCCATTTTCCCATGGCATTTGCTATGACAATGCTCAGTTGGAGTGTGCTCGAATATAAGCAAAAGTATGTGGCTATTAATGAGTATGCACATTCTCGAGAACTCATCAAATGGGGTACCGATTACTTGCTCTTGACCTTCAATAATTCTGCTACCAAAATTAACAAAATTTATGCCCAGGTATATAACTTAGTCTTCTTGTTCACTTTCCTTCTCTTTCATTTTTTTGTACAATCAACAAATCTCAATCATTAAAATCTTATTATAAATGGTTAAGATTTAAACATAAATATTATATGATACTTTAAAAAATTCACGTGACTTTAATTAATCTTTAGTCTTGATCGGCCAGATATAGCTGTAGAACTCAAATTTACTCTTCTTATTCTAGTATAAAAATATCTCTCTCTCTCCATATCTTCATCCTTTGATATAACACTACTTTTGTAGTTTTACCACATTCATTATCTAATTTTTGTAAATTTTATGCTTCGTTAGTTTGTAATTTGTTTCTGTTCATGAGAGTTACTCTTGATACGTACACCCTTAAAATGGGTGAAAAGAAAATAAATGAATGCTCAGTCTGGACTTTCATATTAATTTCATTCATGATTATGTCATGCATGCAAAATTTTCTACCATGAACCAAGGGGAAAAAGAGATGCATATTTTTTGTCATTTGCTTTCTCTTTCTTGTGGTGTAAGTCAAGGGTAGGAAGAGAAAGGAAATTTGGTTACACATGAGATAAACTTGGAGATAGAGTGCTAACAGATGTGCACTTGATGTTAAGGTTGGTGGGGGTTTAAATGGTTCTAGCACACCAGATGATCATTACTGTTGGCAAAGGCCAGAAGACATGGAGTATTTGCGCAGCACCGTAGCCATATATGAAGGTCCTGATCTTGCAGGGGAAATGGCAGCAGCATTAGCAGCAGCCTCTATAGTTTTCCAAGATGATGTTGCCTACTCTCAGAAACTGATTAAGGGTGCCAAAACTGTTTTTGACTTTGCCAGAGATGGTGGTAAGAGGAGGACATATAGTCGTGGGCAGGCTTATATTGAACCTTTTTATAACTCTACTGGCTACTATGATGAGTACATGTGGGGTGCTGCTTGGTTGTATTATGCCACTGGAAACACTTCTTATATTTCCTTGGCTACCAATCCTTCCATATTCAAGAATTCCAAGGCATATTTATTGCGTCCTGATTTAAGTGTTTTGAGCTGGAATAACAAGTTACCTGCTGCAATGTTGTTGCTGACACGGCTCAGGATGTTTTTGAATCCTGGGTACCCCTATGAGGACATGTTGAAGATGTACCATAATGTTACTAGTCTTACCATGTGCTCTTATCTTCATCAATTCAAAGTCTTTAACTGGACTAGAGGTAGTTAATTAAGAATCATTCTCTTTCTCTTCGGTCGCTCAATTCAATTGATGATGTCTGTTTAATTGGACTCAAAATTATGATTGTGACTACTCAACATGATGATATGCATGTTTGCAGGGGGATTGATCCAATTGAACCATGGACAACCTCAATCTCTCCAATATGTTGCTAATGCCGCTTTCTTGACATCACTTTTTGCTGATTACATGCAAGTGATTGGTGTCCCTGGATGGTATTGTGGTTCTACTTACTTGCCAATATCTGCTCTGAAGAAATTTGCAACCTCTCAGGTACCATATTCACTTCATTTCCATTTTGGTTCATTTACTTTGTTTTATAAGAAACAATGAACTCTAAGAATGAATCATTCAGTTTTGAGAAATTTTTTTTTTTTTTTTTTTATAAATAATGACAGCAATATTACTCCTTGCATTTCATATCTTAAGTTTTTTTTTTTTTTTTTTACTAATGTTTCAAAACTTTTGTTATTTTAGAAATTAAGACTTTTTATTCACCTCTTCCCTTATTAAATATTTCGGACAATTACCCCAACTAACTAATATAATCAAATCTCCTTTTTTTCACTTTTTTTTTCCAGAGAAGCATAAATATGGTTATTTTAATCAAAATGTGCTTAGAAACACATTATTTAACTCGCTTTTTATTAATGACTAAAATTTATTAGAAATTATAAAATATTTAAGAATCTTACTCTTAATTTAATAATTTTGACTATTTTTTAAGTTTTTGATAAATTATGTTAAAAAGAGTAATAAAAAATTGTGTCCTTGTCACTGTTAATAAAATTATACATTAACTATCATTGGTTAACCTTAAACAACAAAAAATATGAGAGTACTTTGTTTTCACTTACTTTATATATTATCCTTAAAAACAATAAATAACATAAAATTAGTGTCATTTTTGTAATTATTTATGAAAAATAATTTTTTATAAAAACAATGAGGTCTAAATTAGATGGAAATTAATGATCTTCAATGAAATTTTGGAGCCTTCTTATTTTGTTTAAACCACTAACTTTTATATCATTGTGATTTTCTATATTAATTCCCATGAAACAGATTGATTACATTCTGGGTAAAAACCCCATGAAAATGAGCTACATAGTGGGGTATGGAAAGAAGTTTCCGAGACATGTTCATCATCGAGGAGCATCAACACCAAATGATCACAAACATTACTCATGCACTGGTGGTTGGAAGTGGCGTGACACTCCTAACCCAAATCCTAACACCATTACAGGAGCAATGGTTGGAGGGCCGAATCATTTTGACCAATTCCATGATTCAAGAAAGAATTATAACTACACTGAGCCAACCTTAGCTGGAAATGCAGGACTAGTTGCTGCACTAGTTTCCTTAACAAGTACCACAGGTAGTGGCATTATTGACAGGAACACCATTTTTTCAGCCATTCCACCACTTGGCCCACAAAACCCTCCTCCTCCACCTCCTTGGAAACCAATCAAAAGATGATGTTACTTAAAACGAACCAAAGCCTCTGTGTATTCACATTTTTTTTTCTGCTCTACTGCTCTTGACTTCCAATTTTCAACTTTCTTATGCATGTATATTCATAAATGACGCAGCACTTTTACCCAGATAAATATCGTTTTAAATTAATATTATTATGATCGTGCTGTTTTCAAAATCATATCTGAACTAGATCATAAAGCCCAAGAATGCTATATATGCACATTTAATCCATCAAGTACTAATAAAGTCTTTATATACTTGAAGTATTTTTTCAAATTTTTTTATAAGGTATTATTAACAAATTTACACTCATTAATAAAAGTAGTTAGATTTATTTATTTTTAAAAAATAATAATATAAAAATTATATTTTTATTTATATTGTTGAACTTAATTTCATCATTAATTTTATTACACTTGTTGGTTTTAACTGTTTTCCACCGATTCTATTTATTAAAAAAATAATAAACTTAATAAAAATTATAAACACCTTATAATAAAAATTATTAAAATATATATTTTAAGAAATACCTTATAAAAAAAAGACTCAATATGCTAGTTTAGTATTACAAAGCATACCCTTTCAAAAATAGAATAATATGATGTCATTTATTGCCAACTCATGCTCTAATTTATCTAGTCATTATGAAGGTATTAATCACAATATTTAGTTTTAATTACCTTGGTAAGAATGAATTCTCTATTGGTTGGACACCTTTATAATTGATTGTGGGTAGATCAACAATAAAATTGTCCTCTTATATGATTAATTCTATGGAACATCAAACACTTTAAAGTATGGCTAAAGATTCCTTAACGAGGAAACAAGCGCCCACAAGACGTGTCCCATCAATTAAAACATAATTTGAACACCTAAGCTTTTGTGATAAAAAAAAACATAGTTTGACTGCCCAAAACCTAGTAAAAACATCAAATCGCACCTGGCAGGCCCTTAACTACATGATATTAACTTAGCAGCTCATGTCAGTGTAATGATGAAAACTCAAACCTAAAGGTAAACTAACGCCTATATAAAGGAAAGGAGCCCATGCAAGTCCGCACTTTGTTCTTAGACATAGACTTCATTTTATAGCATAAATTTTGCCGCATTTGACCGTTCACAATGAAGCAAAGAAGAAGTCGTGTGAATTGGTAAGTTTTATGATCAAACTCTGAGTATTACCAAGTTGAATTTCTACTTGCAATTAAAACTTGCATTTGTGGGTAGGATGACCATAGAAACTTATGGTAGAATGATTCTATAATATTTACTTGAATTATCATCATTTATTCTTGCCTATAGTTCCATCAATTTGCACCACAAATTATTTTGCTTAATAGACAAATTTTAGCACTTCTAAAAAATCTAATAATTTTACTGCCATTAACTTAGTAATATTGGTAAATTTAAGTCACAATATTGACAATTCTCAATCTCCACTCTTATTTACCAAATCAACTTTTTATCCTAGTTTTCATGCAAAATGTTTACAAGGACATCAATAACCTTTGCTTACATCTAACCAATTTTAGTAATATCTAAGTTTTTTTTTTCTATAGGCAAATACTTTGTCATCATGTTAGTTGAATTATCTATAGTGGCTATTTTCTGTATTGCAACTTGCCTATTGGCAATAATTTCTCTAACAAAATACATTCTAACATCAATGTGCTTAGTTCTTCATGATAAACAAGGTTTGGTCAAATGTATTGCAATTTGATTATCACAATGCACTTTCGAAATTTTGCATTCAACTCCCAACTATTCAACAAACCATGCAATCATTTATATTCTTTACAACTTCCATTAGTGTCATGTATTCTACTTCAATAATTGAAAATGCAATTCTTGGTTCTAATGTTGCTTTTCAAATCACTATACATTTTAAAAGTCTAAAGACATAACTTGTCATTAAACACCTTATGTTTAAATTATGTCAATAGATTTTCATATGAATTATTTTTATTATATAATTTTTTAAAGTATTTAGTTTAATTCTTTTGTTATTGCATATAATATACATAAATAATTTTTTTTAAATTTAGACACATGGACAGGTGCACGTGTGTGTGTGTGTGAAAATTAAAATTTATATCATGTATTTTTAAAAAATAATGATAAAATTAAAAAATATATGTATAATAACTTTTGATGATGAAGTAAAAATTGTTTTATGATTTTTATGTCGTAAAGTCAAATGTATGAATTTTTCTTAAACTTTTATTATAAAATACATAAACAAACATTCTATTTTAAAATAAAATTCAAATGAATGTTAACTATAAACTTTTTTATGTTAATTTACTTTAATTCTTTAAAGGGTGATCTATTATGTATCAAAATTTGTATGATCCAATTATTTTAAAATTTCTTTTTCTTTATTTTCTCTTTTTTCTAATAAATAAAATATTAAAATTTAAGAATGAAATAAAACTTTAATTTTTATATAACTTGGGGTAACTGATTTACTAACATAATGCTAATGTTTAGATTTGGTTAAACAAATTATTATTTTTCAAAATTTTCAGAATTCTTTAAAAATTCTAGTTACAACTTCTTCCATCTCTTTCATGTTCTCTTGACTCTTGTATCCATTCACCATTCATTTTTTTTCCCCTTTGTGTCGGCCCTTGGTTGTGACACATTACATTCAAGAAAAGAAGGAAAACAGAAGAGAAGAGAATAACTATACAACCTTGCTACTCTCTGCCCTCACTATATCATATTTATACATTTGGTCTCACCCCTATGACTCAAGTTTGTGTGCATATAGTACGTAGCAAGACTCAAAAGGAGCATGACCCTTAGGTGAATAATAGCCACTGCTACCATCATCACTGTCACAAAATTCTAAACCATTCTCCTCTTTTTCATTATCTGCTTCCACAGGCCCTGTCTTGAAAATGAATAGGCCAGGACCTGACCTGGACCCACTAAAAAGCCAATCATGAACATCCCAATAAACTTGCACAGGTTGGTTGTTAACCATAACAGTTTGGTTCCCTCTGAATTTCCACTGCAAGTTCTTAACATGAATGAGCACAATCCCATCAATGGTTATCCTCATCTCAGGCTTTTTAAGCTCAAATGTTGAGCTCTCCACAACAATGTCACTTTCTTTTTTCTTCCAATCAAACCTTGCCTTGGTTGAGAAACTTTTCTTGGCAAACACGTTTTCTCTCTTGAAAAATTGCACTGCCTCAACAAGGCCTGCCCTCAGTTTCATTCTGTTGTAAGCTTTGTTCTTGTAGTCTCCCAACAGCAACACAACCTCCTCATCCAATGCCAACGCCACATAGTAGTTGCTGCGCGGCTCGGGGCTGCCGCCGGCAAATTTAGCCGACCGGAAGTCCCAATAGGCTTCCATCTGGTGGCCATCAACCTCAAAAGATTTGTACCCTTTTTTCCTCCAAAAGTACCAAGGCTTAACATCTATCTTACAAGTGTATGTGAACTCACCTCTTGTGCTATCAACCTTGAGTTTTAGTGTGTGGCTGATGAGGTTTTTGCGCCACAACACTGACACATTCCTCCAACATCCTGCAATTTTGGCTTGGTAGATGCATGTGACTGCGCTTTGAGCAGGTTTATAAGGCAAAAGTTGAGGCTCTTCTGATATTCTCTCCCCTAAAGGTAGTGGTGATGCTCTTTGGTTTGAGTTTGACACTGATAGTGATCTAAAGGAAATGTGCATGGCCATAATGCATGCTTCATAAGGAATTCAAATTTCCAATTCAAACCCCTTCAAGAGATGAATTATGAAAAGAATGGGCAACTTCAACGAGAATTGAATTGAATAATGGAGTTGGAGATACCATTGATGAGGAATTGCCAAATTTGAGGAAGGATTCATTCAACACCAACAACCATGCAGAACATTCAGGAAAAGCTTAGATATGAGTTGAAAGATTTGACAGGTGGATGTGCCTGGAATGTGTTGGTGATTTGAAAGTCAGTTCATTTGGCAGAATTTTGTGGCGAAGAAAGAACGATTGACGCGAAAGTTTGATTTTGTTTGGAGAAAAAGTCTTCCTTCAGAGGCCACAAATAGAGATCTAATCGAAAGAAAAGAGGATCGAACCTCTCTGAGTTTCAACAATCCTTTCACCCATTAAATGGAACCTTTTCCGACTGTTGCAGGGAAGAGAAAAAATAAATAAAGTTTAGTTATGACAACCCACATGATATAATGTAGTTACATTGATATTCATAAATTTTTATAATATGCATATGATGATATAATATTTTATAAATTATTATATGAATAAAAAATTATAAAAATTTGTTTATACTAATAATTACAATTGAAAATATATTTTCAATTTATTTAAAAGGAAGTATTAACATTTTTTAATTAGAAATACAAATTTTGAAAAAAATCACATGTTCGTATGCAAATAATATAATAATTTATACATTGATAATAAAATTTTGAAAATAAAAGTTTAGAAAAAATTATTTTATGTTTCTTAAAAGTAAATTGAAAATTACCTCTCTCTCTCTCTATATATATAAACTCACTGTTTGGGCATATTTAAAATAATATACTTTTTTTTTGTTAAGGATCAACATAACAATTAATATACTTAACAATATATAATTTGATTCAATCTAATATGATAATTGATGCTGGAATCTTTTCTTATTATTGTTAAGGTAAGAGTAGACACCTAGATTTGTTCTCCTGAAAACCAGTCAAAAATCTAGTAATATCTCTTTTTTATTCATAAATTTGTATTTTGACAAGTGACTTCATAAAATCTTTATTTTAATTTTTGATTCCGTAAAAGAAGTTCAATCTATTTTATTTTTTATTATGGATTTATATGAAAATAAATGTTATTTTATAAAATTAAGATTTAAACTAAAAATAATGCAAAACATTATATTTATAAATGAAGAAAGATCACATTTAAAAATTATAAAATTTATACAAATAATTATATTTAGAGAAAAAATATTTAACTTTATAAATTTATATTTAATTCTTCTTGTATAAAGTAATAATTACAAGAACATAAAAGGCTACATCTATCAAATATCTGCAAAATACATTTAAGAAGAAGAGTTTAAACGTTTAACTATATAACCGTCGTGAGCATGCACATACTCACGCGCGTAAAATCAAATTACAATAGCGTAAATTACGTGTATCACTTAATATAGAATATAATTTTTACTAATATAATAGTTGAATAATAATTATACATTTTCTTTATTATTATTATTAGTTTAGTTTAGTTTAGTTTATATATTTCAAAAGCATATATTATCTTAATTTTAATGTGTATAATTCTCTCTCTCTCTCTCTCTCTCTCTCTCTCTCATATATATATATATATATATATATATATATAAAGTTAATCTGTATTTAAATTTTATAATTTTTAAACCTTAAAAATTACTCTCTTTTAATTTTTAGTGAAAATAAAAAAATTTATTGTATTTTTATCATTTTTAATAATTTTATTTGATTCAGATTTAAATAAGATCAAAGAAAATTATAATTTTTGTCTTTAGGTTTAATTTGTATTTTTATTTAAATTTTCTTCAATTTAAATTTACTCCCTTAATTTTTTTTACCCTATAAACTCTAATTTTTATTCATCTTTTAAAATTTACCAATTTAAAACATATTTCAATTTTAATGTAAATATAAAATTATAGTAAAGTTAATTGACAATAACAGTCAATGAGTATAACGTCAATGTAATGATTAAATATTTAAAATAAAAAAAATAAAACAAATAGCCTGAAATAGTTTATGAAAATTAAATGTAAAAGTGACAATAAAATTGTGGTCTTGAAGCATGACATACTATACTCTCAATTTGTTATTATGTAACATGTAGAACAACTATTGCCAAGTCCATCATGCATTGTCTTCTTTGTTTTGAATTGACCCTTTCTCCCTGTGCTTTGTAATCACAGTGCCTCCTATATGACTAGCTGAAGCACCAGCCTGCAGTGCTTCTAAATACAAAGCCTTGACTAGATTCTTGAATCTCCTTCTAAAAGTTGGTATTCTGGACATGGAAACCACAATTCCCTGCAACCTGAAGAAATGAAATGCTAAGTTACCTTTCCATTCCACATTAAGAAGAACATGAATGTTCTATATAATTATCATGAGTGACAATATAATTTGTTCATATTGCCTTCTACAATAATCTAGTTAAAAGTTCATTGAAAGATTGAAACGTTTATTCAAACTGGTTGTTATCTACACATGTACCTTCTAATTATGGCTTGCAACTGTGCTCTCCTAACATTATCATTAGATGGGAATTCTGTGGTATCCCACTCTTCTGGTAATTCATTTTTGCATCTCATAACCAGTTCTTTCAAGCATGTTTCTTCAGTTTCTTCCAACTTAAGGCTCTTCAGCTGCTCCTTCATGATCAGCAGAGGTTCGATAAACCACTCAAACACTTTATCCTTTGGTCCATTCATCCTTGTGAGCACTACATCATCAGCTGCAAAAGCATATGTGAAAGCATGAACATGTTTATGTTTTGCAATGAAATAAAGGTTTGAGCAAGAGCATTACAGATCACCAATCCATCGAAATTAGATTTTGCAGAGGTTAGAAGACATTGCAGCAATGACCAAGCTGGCAACTTGGTGCCTAACTTTTTGCAGTTGCCTTTCAAAATGCATTCTTCAATTTCCTTGACACTTATCAGGCCATCACGAAGGAGTATCCTGCCATGCACCTCACATGACTTGAACAGCCAGTCCCATACCTACAAAGGAAAATTTGTTGAATTTCTATAATCAAAATATGCCTAAAAGGCTAAAACAATTTGGACTATGCTCCCTTTACTTGTATCTGTTAATCAAGGAATCTGTTATTCCTATTTGTTACTATTCTTGTTTCCTCTTATGCGTTGTATTAATTAGGAATAGAATCAATCTATTATTTGTATATATTTAGAATTCCTAATTTAGGGGTAAGTATGTTTGTACTATATATAGAGACTAATAGAAACAAAGAAGAGAGGAAGCCAAATATTTTTGACATGGTATCACGAGTCTCGTCGACAGAGACGTGAACCTTTCTGGTTTCTGGTTTGTGCCTGCTTCTTGGTCCTTGGGTCTTGCCTTGGGGTTTTGACATTCTCGTTCCTCTCCATCTTGGATTGTTGGTTCTTGTTCCCCTTTTCTTTTTGGGCACGGGCGCCTGACTCAGAAAGGATTTTTGTGTTATGATACCACTATCCAGCGCCTACGCATCTCTAGGAATGTGGTTTTCTTTGACCATCAGTATTTTTTCTCTAGTCGTCCCTCTATTTCTCCTGATTTTGTCTCCTTCACTCAATTTCCAGAAGTTCCTCCTCTTGTAGAACCTTCAAACCAGGCCATGTGTATGTCAGACGGAAGCCTGTTTGTCCCCCTCTCGACACTGAACCATCGCCTGACCCCCGCCAATAGCACCTCGTTGATCTAGTCGCATTCACCGTCCACCGGATTGGTATGGGTTTGAACCTACTTCTTTTACTGCCACGTTATCTGGGATTTCTATTCCTACATGTTATTCACAGGCTATTAAAGACTCACGTTGGGTTAAAGCAATGCAAGATGAGTTGCAGGCGCTTCAGGAGAATTATACTTGGGATATTGTTCCTTGTCCCCCTGATGTTAAACCCATTGGTTGCAAATGAGTGTACTCTGTGAAGTTGAATTCGGATGGCTCTCTGAACCGTTTCAAGGCCCGGTTAGTTGCTTCGGGTAACAAACAAGAATATGGAGTCGACTATGATGAGACATTTGCCACTGTTGCTAAAATGACTACTGTTAGAACTGTCCTGTCTATTGCAGCTTCCAAAGGATTGTCCCTTCATCAAATGGATGTGAAGAATGCCTTTCTTCATGGTGACTTAGTAGAGAATATCTATATGACACCTCCTCTGGGCTTGTTCTCCTCTTCTATAGGTGTCTGCAAGCTCAACCGTTCTTTATATGGTTTAAAGCAAGCTCCGCGGGCATGGTTTGAAAAATTTCGGTCCACTCTTCTTGGATTCTCTTTTAAACAAAGTCAACATGACTCCTCTTTATTCATTCATCACACAACAGCCGGCATTGTTCTTCTCCTTATTTATGTTGACGACATGGTCATTACAGGGTCTGATCAGGCATCCATACAACAACTTAAACAGCAGCTCCAGGCTTCCTTTCATATGAAGGATCTTGGTTGTCTTCATTACTTCTTGGGTCTTGAGGTTTCTTCCACCTCCAAGGGTATTTTTCTTAATCAGCATAAATATGCTGAAGACTTAATTTCTCTAGCTGGTCTTCAGTCTGCTGCCCCTGTGGACACCCCTCTCGAAGTTAATGTCAAATATCATCGTGTTGAAGGTGATCTTTTGCCTGATCCTTTGCTATATCGGCAATTGGTGGGTAGTCTTAATTATTTGACTATTACTCGTCCCGATATTTCCTTTGCCGTACAACAAGTTAGTTAATTTATGCACGCTCCTCATCATCTTCACATGGCTGCTGTTCGGCGCATTATTCGGTACCTGAAAGGCACTCCTTCTCGGGGTTTATTTTTTCCAGCTGGTACGTCTCTTACTTTGCTTGGCTACAGTGATGCCGACTGGGCTGGTTGTCCCGATACTCGTAAGTCCGTCTCCGGTTGGTGCATGTTCCTTGGTCCTGCATTGATTTCTTGGAAGAGTAAAAAGCAAGCCCGTGTTTCCAAGTCCTCCACTGAGTCTGAATATCGAGCGATGTCTACTGTTTCCTCTGAAATTATTTGGCTTCGTGGTTTGTTGGCTGAACTTGGCATCCCTCAGAATGATGCCACCCCTCTTTATGCTAATAATACTAGTGCCATTCAAATTGCTGCAAATCCAATTTTTCATGAGCGTACTAAACATATTGAGGTGGATTGCCACTCCATTCGTGAAGCTCTTGATGATCATGTTATTTCTCTTCCTCATGTCACTTCGCAACTTCAGCTTGCAGATATATTTACCAAAGCCGTTCCTCGTCCCCGTCACCAGTTTCTCATTAGCAAATTGATGCTTCTTGATCAACGGCATCAATTTGAGGGGAGATATTAATCAGGAAATCTGTTATTCCTATTTGCTACTATTCTTGTTTCCTCTTATGCGTTGTATTAATTAGGAATAGAATCAATCTATTATTTGTATATATTTAGAATTCCTAATTTAGGGGTAAGTATGTTTGTACTATATATAGAAACTAATAGAAACAAAGAAGAGAGGAAGCCAAATATTTTTGACAGTATCTTCTTTCATCATCATGTTTTCAACTTATGTAAGGCTTCATGACGGAAAACAAAAAGATGTAACAAAAATATGAAAAGAGCTTAATATTAAGTGGTATAAGCATGGATCACCTGCATAGGTCTGTATTTCTGAATTCTCCATTTCAGGCTTCTGGATTGCTGTAAGTCATGTTTCGTATTTGGTGAACCCTCCTTCCTATTTTTCAAATTCTTATCACCTCCTCCAAGGTTTTTTCCCTCAATGGCATCATGACTCATGTTTCTACGGTATGTTGGCCTGGCTGTCACAGGAACTTCTCAGAATCAGTGATCAATGTCCAATGCACTTCTACAAGAGCAAGATGTGACTATAACAAAGCAAATTCGATGGCACCTGGGAAAGCAGGATCCTTCTCTCAGGTAGAGTAAATCATTTACATATTCATCGAAAAGCGAAACCACAGACACAATGTAGGAAAATCCCATCTGCACTGAATCTTCCTAAAATAAAGAAATTCTTCGCATGATAAATCTCTTCAAGCTTGCATAAGTGGTCAAAAGACACTCACAAACAACTCTTACTGACCTGATGGACAACAACTCCACTGTATAGGCCAAGAAAAATGCTGAAAATGCATGATACTAATACAGCCATTACAACAGCCAAAGGCCAGAGAATGATAGCAAGGCCAGCAAATGGGACACATTCAGTTTCTAGGAAGGGTCCCTTTCTTCCAATCAAATCTTCCAATAGTCTCTTCCACCCTCTGAAGAGCATGTATGGACTCTTCCATACAGCAATAGATGTGATTAAAGTCATATCAAACGGCACCCCAACCATGATCACCAACAAGCAACATGGTAATAATGACAATCTAGCAAGAAAACATTTGAATTTGTCTGCAAGACTGTTGTTGTGTATCAAAGAGATAAGTGGAGGGGAATAACTTACCTTATATCTAATGGCTTTTCATGAGGGGGTAATTTTTCTCTTAGTTCATCCATGTATGAAAAGTAGGAGTGAAAGCAGAAATCTGTGACATCCTGAACCACAGTGCAGCTTCTTTGAATTGTTGACCAACAACCATCCTGATATTAGAATTAAGTGGCATTAAAGCTTCCTGCATTCTGCTCAACAGTAGAAGAAAATTAACTAAATCACATTCACAAGATGGCATTTTTCAAAACAAATATTAGGTTGTTGGGTTCAGTAACTTCCAAACCTGGAATTAATTCATCCCTCAACTAATAAACATAATAACATATGAATGGTTTGGTGTTCTTTTAAAATTGACCATGCGAGCACAACTTTTACAGCTTGTTTTGTTTAAGAAACTATTCTGTTTTTCTTTCTCCTGTTTTCGTTACAAAAATGTAATATAAATAACTAATTAAATGAAGCAAATATTTGTAATTATTTACAAATATAGAATAACAGGAAACATTTTCTCAAACTAAACAAACTTGAGTATGGAATGCATTTTGAATATAATGCTGTTTTCAAAATTTTAAGAGAAAATTGAACTGAACTGACCAGGGTTTTAAGTCAATAAACGAGATTGAGGGAACCTGATGAAAAGTATTTAGCTCAAGAAATTAAGAGAACTTATTCATGTGTCTCATATATGCACATAAAATATCCCAATAATTCATGCAATGAAGTGTTATATACACCATGAATTTTCCTAACAAAGATAACTCCACAAGCAAAGTCACTTGGCCAAAAAGAGCACAGAAAGAGACATAGGAAGAAATTCACACTTACAATGAAGCAATGGTAAAATTTGTGTGTACCACTCTCTCCCTCTCCCACAGCCTCAAAAGTTGAAAGAAGAGGAGCAAAAAACCCATATCCAATTCCACCTAAAATGCTTCCAACAATACCAACTATTGGCCAGAGAAACACAGGAACTGGCAAACACATGAGCACCACAACCTTGAGGACCAATCCAAACCTCTTTGTTCTGTTGTCAAAGGCCAAAGTTATCAACATAATGAAGAGAAATTAGAGAGATTTTAATAGAAAATGTTGCAATTTGGAAAGAAAATACAACCTTGCCACACAGTAATATGTCCAGACTACATGTGCACTCCAAAGTCCAATGATAACAGATGAATTTCCAATTACAATAATGGTAAATGCAATTGGACCTATCAGTGCAGCTGCCAAAAAGGAACCACCTTGTCATGAATGCAACCAGTGACCTTTTTTAAATCAAATTTTATATTTGCAAAGAGCTTCTGTAAGGTTTGAAAGTATGATTATTACTTGATTTGTCTAAGTCTAACTAAGTAAATAGAAAAATAAATAAAAGAAAGATACAGATTTAGGAAGTAAGAGGGAAAAGAAAATGAACCTTTTATGATGCCAAGGATAAAGAGTAAGAAGAAGAATGGAAAGAAAGAAATAAAGCTCCTCAACTTGCCTAATATACCTTCAAGGGCCATATCTCAGAGACAGAATAAGTGAAAATCCAAGAGAAAAGGCATAAAACTGTTATCAACATGGAAAATTTTCTAGCTCTACTCATGAACTCACTATTGTTGTTTATTTATAGAATGAAAGATTAGTTCTTTATATTTTATTTTCAGATTAATTTATCTTTAATTTTTTTTATTTCTACTACACGAATAATTGAATTAAAGTTACACGTAATCATCACATTTTTCTGGATAAAATGTAACAATTAAAAGTATAAACAAAATGTACTAAAAATACATTAACAAATTAATTATATATATGCAAAAAAGCTAACAAGAACTTAGAATTTTGTAAAATATACTTCATAAAAGTAATGGGCTTATAGTACAAAACCATAGATACGGTGGTGTTCAAATTTGAAGTATAATAATGGATATGGGATGATTTTCAACACGCCACGTGGCATGTAAATGTGATTCGTGGCACTTTGTTGATGAAATATAATGTAATTGTGAAAGTATGATGTGTTCAATAGCTATCTACGAACAAGAACTGCGATATAGCTTCTGTGATTCCTATGCCAAAGGAAAGTGGCTGTCATATATATTTAGAAAAATAATTAAGAAAAAGGGCTAAATAAAAAATGTATTAAATTATGTTAAACTTTTGTTAAATAACTCTTTTTAATATTTTTTTAAAAAAAATTTGCAAACATTCGTCAATTTATGCTTCATGTATATCATAAGGATGTGCTTATTTTGTGGATTGATTTTATATTTTTGTTAATATCGAAATATGTTAACTATGGTTTTGGATTCTATCTGGCTACGGGCTGGCCATCCAATCTAGTTTCATTTAAGGAAATCTGAAAAAAAAAATTAAAAAAATGAAAAATTACATAAAATTAGCAAATTTTTTGTTTCCAAGCAGTAATACTTCTCACTCACTCATTGTGCTCTGTCAAGTAAAACAACAGTAGTAGGCATGTTTGTTTTTTCTTATTCATGATGCTTCATGTGTAACACTTGCAGCGAAATAAATATAATTTGTTTAATATTTAAAATATAATAGATTAGATAAAAAAAATATGCACTTATTCTTGAATTATAAATTTTTTTTCAGTAATATAAAGACTCAATTGGTATTAAAAAATTAGCAATATAAGAGAAAAGAGAAAAAAAATAAATTTTATTTTTTTCATGTTGTTAGTGCAGCGTTTTGCTTAATATAATATATTTGCTACGGTTCATCAACGTAAGTACAATTAAAAATTAAATTTTTAGTCTTCTCTATTGTTTAAACTAAATTAATTGATGCAATTTCAATATTTGAATTTTAGTTAGTTATCATAAAAATTAAATTATATTATGAAGTTGTTTTATTATTAATATTTTTGGTGCTAGTAAAAAATATAAATATTTATTAAAAAGAATAAGTATAGGTGTATGTGTATTATTATTTGGATGTACATTTTGATTTATGATTAATGGTATGAATAAGTAAAGGTGTATGTGTATATATGTATATTGTAATTTAAATGCGAATGTTGACTTGTGGTTAGGCTGGATTGGTTGGAAATATATGTTGAGGTTGACTTGTGGTTTGGCTGGATTAGTTGGAAATATATGTTGAGGTTGTGTTGCAGGGGCATTCTTGTTGTAGCGAGAGAGTTCTCGCTATAGTAAGAAAGGTGCAGGTGATGAAGGGGTTATTATGGCGTTCTCGCTGTAGTGAGAGAACTCTCGTCATAGCGATAAGGCAACAGAGATAGTTTTCTAGGTTTAGTCTCGCAGTAGCAAGATTATGCAAAAAATTAAGTGCAGTTTTGTCTGATATTTTTGCTGTAGCGAGAAATGTCTAGCTGCAGCTAGAGATGTTTCGCTGTAGTGAGAATATCGCGACTCTTAGGATATTCGAGGGGTTTAGGATTTGAGAAGCGCATAATTCCCACTCTTCCCTTCACCTCTCCTTCAATTCTCTCAACCCCTCACCCTATTTCATAAATTAAATTACCTCCAAAGCTGTGTATGCCCTGAATTAAAGGTTGAGATTATGTTTTGGAGGTAAGTTTCATGAGTTAGGGTTTCATTTTTATTTAATCTTCGTTCTTCTCAGTTCTCATGGATTATTCCATGTATTTAGGGCGAGAATTCGTATAGGAAGCACTTCTACCATTAATTTCGTAGTGGGTCTTCGTTTCAAGATAAGAGGAGAACTCTACTCTATTTCTTTGTGTTTAATGTTAGTTTGTATTGCCATGTTTTGAAATGTAATTGAGATAGAACGTGAGAATATGTTTATTTGATGGAAATTTCGTGCTAGGCATGATGTGGTAGACATCGAGTATAATGTGGTTAAATATGTGTGAACGTGCCATCAGTTGAGAATGAATACTATGAAACAATTGAGAATGTGGATGAATATGTGTGAATGGCATGTTGATAGTGATTATGACGTGTTTGAAATGGTTGGAACTATAAATAGTTACAGCGATACACTGGGAGTGTGGAAGATGAGAGCGGTACAAATACCTTAGAGAAAAAAGGGTGGTTGTGACACTAACAGTGAGCGTGAGTGCACCACAGGTCACACACTCTTCTCTTGACTTGGTCTTTGACCAATACCTTTGCTAAGGGGTCCGTAATCACACACGTTGTATCCGTGAGGCAGGGGCTAACTAGCGATCATCCATGGTGTGAAACTGAGTAAGTCCCTAAGGTTGAGGGCATTAGGAAACTATGATCACAGTGACACAATAAGCGTGACTGACATGCAGTGAGCGCACCTTTGTATGCTTGTTGTGTAATGATTATTATGTGGGCTGATTGCGTAGTGAATGTAACCGTTTGTGTGCTTGATTGGTTGTAGTAGTGTGTTAGAAGGAATTTGTAAAGAATGGGCCTGAAAATGCTGAGAAAGACGAGGAGCATAGAGGGCCAAGTGAGAATAGCAAGGCAAGACACGTGGCAACGGGCACAAAAGGCATGGTGAGAAAAAGCACGCGATCTAAGCAAGAGAGCACACGGTTGAAGGATTTCGTGTGGGGTAGCCACTAGTATAAATATCTTAACTGTAAAGAGAGTGTGTGTCGATGGTCTAATTATAACTTTTCTCTCTCTAGTTCAATTTCTCTGTCCCAATTGGCACTCTTCCAAGCGAAGGTCATTGTTATTGTTTTTTTTTGTCACTTGTTGCTGCATTTTTTGATCATTGTCTTGTATTTCAATAAAATTGCCATTATTAGTACTCATTTGGTTCGTTATTTCCTGTTATTCTTTCCCTTTTGAGTTGCTTTCATTATAGAATTAATTGATGCTTGTTTAATGCATGATTTACTTAGATTTAATGCATTATTTCCCTATGTGTAGGTGTGATAGTATAGAAGACTCATCTTTACATTTTATTTTTCAGGTGATAAAGGCGATCCACACTAAGCTGAGTGAATAGAATGGATAATATTGCTATAGGACTTAAAAAATTATTTTAAATTTTGTGATGTATTAAATAGGTTCTATAGTATTTATTTTGAAATACTTTATTAGAATATTGTATTCGAAGTAATTTGAAACAAAATTTTTATTTTCTCCTTCAAAGTGTGAAAAATATTTTATTTGAAATACATTAAAATAAATAGGTGTTACAAATTTTTTCTTGAATTATCATTAATTCTATGAGTATTTAATTATATTTAATATTTATTCAATTATTGCTCTAAGATAATGAGTGTCTAAAATTAAAATGTAACAAATGACTTTACTAAGATAATTTTAGGTTAAATAAAATTTTGTATATTTTTTTAAGAAGTTTCTATTGACAATATAAATTAATATTAATCATAAAAAATTCTTAATTTGAATCAATTCAATAACTAAATTCACATCGTGTAGATTAATAGATGAGATATATTAATATTTATCAAATAAATACTATCACTTGTATATTAATTTATTTGAATTATTAATGTCTTATTTATAATAATTATAGGGTCAAGAATAATTTAAATTAAATTACATGAGATACATGTTTCTCATTTTCATAATATCTATTATAATAATAAATTTTTAATTTTAATAAAAAAATTTATCACATAAACTATTATATCAAAACAGTATAAAATAAAAAACAATACTTTATTATTATAAATAGAATGTAGCATGTGATAAATTAAATACTGTGGATACATATTTATTTCCAACACTTCATTGGTTCAAACATGTCATTTTTGTAAGAGAAAATTAAGTTTAGAGGACATGATGGAGAAAGAATGGAGGAAAAAGGAAGTTCTAAACACAAAGAGGATAAAAAGAATAAAAATCCAAGAAGAAGCAAAAGCTACAATGTGGAATATGATTAATGAGATCGGTGAGAATCTATGCAAGACTCAAGCTTTGTGTATATAAAAAGGAGAATAAAGAGAAAAATTAGAACTTGTGGATATCTATATCATGTTTGAGTGGACACATTGTGATGGAGGTGGCAACATTAGATGGTTTATGTATAATTGACTTTTTTTCATGACAAATTTGTCATGGCATGACAATTGGCTTTTTTTTAATGTATAATTTTTTTTTTCAAAATTTAAAAAATATAGAATTTTTAGTAAAAGTATGAGAATATTATTTTTTTTAAGTTAGTGACAGTGCGACTTTTGATGTACTTTTTGAAAATTTAATTATTTTTAATATTTTTTAAAAAATTGCTATTGATGACTTTTTAAATTTTATTACTTTTTTTATATTTTATTTTTAAATTTTTGTATCTGCATCAAATTGACAATTTTTAAATTTCATACTTTTATAATTTTTTTAAAAAAAATACCATATATATATATATATATATATATATATAATTTATAAAGACCATATATAAAAAAATAATTCTGAAGCACTCTCTTAAGAAAAGATATTTTTGAAAAATTATTTAGGATGACAATAAGTTTTGCACATGTAAACTATAAACTATAATAAACTAAGTGACACCAGACAAGTAGTAAAAGAAATGAAATCAGATAATTCTGCGAGTAATA